CGCTAGATCCAGTTCATAAATATAATGTAGGCATGTATTTCGTAAATAGTCATACGTGCTTATGGAAAGAACTTACATGACATCTTTTGTCCTATCCTCCCGTGGCAGCGGGGTCCTATTGGAAACTAAGGGATATTAAGGCCTCCTTTTAATAGAGAATCAGAACAAAGCATTAACATAAGGTGAATACATGAACTCCTCAAACTACAATCATCACCGAGAGTGGTCCCGAATATTGTCACTCCGTGGTTGTTGGATCATAACACGTAGTAGGCGACTATAACTTGCAAGATGGGATCTAGAACATGGATATAATTGTGATAACATAAACGGTTCAGATCTGAAATCATGGCACCGGGCCCAAAGTGACAAGCATTAAGCTGGCAAAGTCATAGCAACATCAATCTCAGAACATAGTGGATACTAGGGATCAAGCCCTAACAAAACTAACTAGATTACATGATGAATCTCATCCAACTCCTCACCGACCAGCGAGCCTACGAAGGAATTACTCACTCCCGGTGGGGATCATCATGGGATTGGCAATGGAGAAGGATTGGTGATGACGAAGAGCGAAGATTCCCCTCTCCGGAGCCCCAAATGGACTCCAGATCTGTCCTCCCGATAAAGAACAGGAGGTGACGGTGGCTCCGTCTCGTGGATCGCGATAATTCTTTATTCCTGATTTTTTCGGAAAAATAGAATTTTATAGTGTCGATTTTAGGTTCTGCGGGGCCACCAGGTGAGGACAACCCACCTGGGCGTGCCTAGGGGGCAGGCGTGCCCTGGTGGGTTGTGCCCACCCAGGTGCCCCCCTCAGGTATCTCTTGGCTCCACAAATTCTCTTTTATTGTATAAAAAATCCTCGCAAAGTTTCGTTCCATTCCGAGAACTTTTATTTCTACACAAAAACAACACCATGATAGTTCTGTTGAAAACAACGTTAGTTCGGGGTTAGTTTTTAGTATCATTCAAATCATGCAAATTAGAGTCCGAAACAAGAGGAAAAGTGTTAGGAAAAGTAGATACATTGGAGACGTATCAATAACTCATCAACTACACTTATTAATATCTAGTAAGCAAAAACAGAATTTGTAGTACAAGAGAGTGTCACTCACCCGAAGTTGTAAGGAAGTAGTATTTCTAGTTGGGTATTTAGGTGCTTCAAGAACTGTAGCAAGCATTTCTCTGTCTATGGTCGATCATATTCTTGTAACCATGTCTTTTCATTAATGGTATTTGGGTCAATGAACCCAATGCCATAGCGTCCAGCTCTTTTCATTCCATACATCTTCATTCTGCATAATACCACAAAAAATAATATAATGAGGATAATTACAGGTAATGAACGAGCACTACAGCTAGCTAGAGACTTAAATTACAGAAACAAATCACTTACAGACAATAGCAACTGACGATAAATTTGTCGAGTGCGTCTTGATTGAATAGCTGAAACATTTCTTGAAACTCAACCCACAGATCTTTTTCATGGAAGTAATGCTCTGCCTCGACCTTCACCATGAGGGACCCTCGATCGGTAGTATTTGCTTCTCTCATGTAGGATTCATGTAATTCATACATTCTCGTTGATAGACACGGGATCTCCTCAGGCTTGACCAGAGGTTCGCCGTAGGCATATTTCGGTTTTAGTTCCTCCTCTTTAAACGTTTCCATGGGCTCGATGCCTAGGAGTTGTTCTAAAGTGACACCGGCCTCTTCAACCTGCCTTCTATGATCGTCGGTTATTACTAGCTGATCGGCGTCGTTACTCACATGTGTTGGTACAATGAGCGGGGGGGTCGATTACACCGCCTGTTCTCCCAGCTGGGGAACATTTTCCCCACTTTTTTGGCAGCTTCTTGGCTCAAGCTCAAGCTCGACTCCTTCTTTTTTTTGTGCTTGATATGACTTTCTTGATTTGGCGCTCATAGTCTGGGTCCCTATGCTTGGCAGCTAGTGGTTGAACCATATCAATATTGTGCTGCATGACATGCTCATGTACTTTCTCCTCTGGCGGCGGGGGCGATTTCGGTCCAAAATGGGCCTGCACTTGGGCAGCGACTTCGGCTTTGCTTTCCTCTTCAGTCAAGTGGTAAGGCAACCTCGGAATAGGCTTGAGGCTTGGACCAACTTTGTATCTCTTGCCTCCTGTTGTACCGCTAGCCGCCGTAGATGTGGCGCCTCTCTTCCCCTGTTGCTTAGGCGGCGGAGATGGCTGACGCGGTGCCTGACTTGGAGGAGCAGGAGTCTGCCGACGCGGTGGCGAACTTGAAGGAGCGAGAGTCTGCTGACGCGGTGGCGAACTTGGAGGAGCAGGAGCTTGCTGATGCGGTGCCGGACTTGGAGGAGCAGGATTCTGCTGATGCAGTGACGAACTTGAAGGAGCGGGAGTCTGCTGACGCGGTGGCATACTTGAAGGAGGAGCCGGCTGACGCGGACGGGAAGGTGCGGGCGATCGACGGTGGTTAGGATGGGGACGGGAAGGCACTAAGTAAACCAAATCTACATATGCAAACTAAGAGTTAATTTGAGCTCAAATTGCATATAAATCAAATAAACTATCACATATAATTACTCCCAAACTAAAATCCATAAATCACTATATTATAGAGCATTGCAAAAGCTAATCTAGTAATGAGAGATAAAATGACAAAGTTGCTAACCTCTGTGATCACTTGGATGGATGGGGGCCTTCAAGTGCATCCAGACATCGTGCCATGTTGCATCCTACGGGTGCAAGAACATTTAGGAGGGGACGTGGACCTTTCCATAGCAATCAGCAAACATTTCAATTAGGACTTTCATGACCTTCACCACGTAGCCCAATATAGAGGCTTGGTCTGCCAGCTGGAGGTCATGGGCTGAATGCAGGTTGCACTGGCCCAAGAAAATGATGCACACTATATATTACTTCATGTCTTGTTTTTAGTACCACATTGGTTGTTTAAGACGAGTTAGATTTATTTATAAGCGTTGCGCAGGACATGGTTAGCACCGCACGGTATGTGTGGTAAGCAATTTCATATTTGAAATTATGCAGTTGAGTTATGAGGCTTTAATTTAAGTGGTGATTTAGATAATAGGAAATAGAAGTAGATGAAAAATACAAAATAAAAAACTGAAAAAGAAAAAATATGAAAAAAGTTTCTTATCACACACCGACATGGTGTGGTAGCAATTTTTTTGCCACTTCTATTGGCTCGTGCCACGCGCTTTGTTTTTTTTTTGTGTGTGTGTGTCTAGCAGAGATTGGCAGTACCTCTTTCCCACTGGCCTCAGACAAGAACAATTAGGACAAACATTAAACCAACAATGACTTTGTTAGGTCATCTTTAAAGGGACCCTCAAATCTCCCGCCGGATCCAGAAGCCATCCAACATAGGTCTGTATTGGTCCACCGAGCGGTCAAGACCATATTTTTCCAGTAAACTGAAACCAAACGTGAAGCGTTTTGCAAGAGTTCGGACATCCGCATGATGAATCAAAAGTCACCACGTATCTCTCTCTCTCTGTCCGGATGGCGGAAAACTGCTGTTGTGCTGCTATTTGGGCACTAGTAGAAAAAGGGCATGCAGTCCCGGTTCATAAGGGCCTTTAGTCCCGGTTCTTGAACCGGGACTAAAGGGTCGGTACTAATGCCCTGACCCTTTAGTCCCGGTTCAAATCAGAACCGGGACTAAAGGCCCTCCACGTGGCCGCTGCCTGGAGGTCCACCTTTAGTCCCGGTTGGTAACACCAACCGATACTAAAGGTAATTTTCTGATTCTTTTTTTTGAAAAAAAAATTTGAAATTTTTTTATTTTCAAATTTCTGATTTATGTTAACCTCTAATCTCTAATCACCCCTCTCATCACTGCTCAATTTAATCTCTAATCACCCCTCATCATTCCAAATCATCTAACTTCCCGAACGGTCACCCATCCTCCCACTCCCCCAGCCTGTTAATCCTATTAACCCTCAGGATTTTAGCTTGAGCATGAAGTCACACATTTCACTGTTTGAGTTTGAAACTATTGTTCTAAAAAACAATAATTATTTAGTAACACTAATATTTCTTGAATAAGTAGTTTGACCATAGTTTGACCAAATTTGACCAAAATTCAAAAAAACTGAAATAATTATTTAATAACACTAATATTCTTGAATAATTATTTAGTAACACTAATACTTCTTGAATAAGTAGTTTGACCATAGTTTGACCAGATTTAATGAAAATTTAAAAAAACTGAAATTTGAGCATAACTTTTTTTCCTTTTGGAATTTGAGGATTCTACAAATTTGCAAACAGGCCATAGGCCGTCTCCATCGGATGTAACTTTTCGAGTAGATGATTTTTCATATAAAAAACTTTTTAATCCGAGTTCATATGCAAAAGTTATTCCCATTTTACAAATTCCAGAGAGATTTTGTAAATAAAGTCGAAATTCATATTTGTAAATTTTCCCAACAACTAGACCACATATCACATGGGAAACTTATTTTTTTTTACATTTCCATCATTTT